AGATAATTCTTAAAGTGGATGAGAAGAGAACAAATGTTGGCGGAAGTGCAATGATATGTTACGGGATGTGCAGTAATGTTGTGCAATAACCGCAGTATAAAGTGCAATATTTTTAATTGAATGAAAATAGTAAATCGCACATTTCTTAAATAAGAGTATCTTCATCATTAAACATTTTAATATAAACGATTGTTTTTTGCTTTTCAATTGTACAAATGTCTAACAATATAACAAATCATATTTAGGGGAAAACTCAATCTGCTATTCATATCCCAAGAAATTACCCATAATCTATTTGAGATAAATATTTGGGCCGCCTAATGAATTTGGAGGCTCCGGTTCCAAATGAGAAAATGAGGCCCTCTAAAACAAAAAAAAAGAACAAATTTTAACAATGAAATACAAATAGATTAGGCAGTTCTATGAAATACAAGAATTATGATGTTTAAAATACACAAATTAGAGAATCTAAAAGTTGTATACTTCTTACATCCCTTAAAACTTTGTCAACTTTAACCGGCATGAGGATTAATAAAGTAAAAACTGTGTGATTGAGGTTTGTGCAGAGGAGAGAGATAAACTGAAATCACAAATTCTTTTCTTAAGAGAAAAATTGACAAAGTTAGTGATGTGACATCCAAAAAGGAATTTTGACAAAATTTTAAGGGCCGGAGGCAGTGTTCTAAAAGGCGGAAAAAGGCGAGGCCTAGCTAGGCACGCCTAGGCATGAGGTGGCGGAGAAACGCCTCACATTGTAGAAAGGAGTGGAAAAGGCGGTCAACTCAAAAGTTTACCACCAAAGGCGTGAAAAGGCGAAGCCTAGGCATGCTTAGGCGTGAAAAGGTGAAAGTTTTGTATATGAAATATTTTTTGCAAATAAAAAACTGATTAAATTTAAAAATAAAAGTACTTTTATAAACATGTTATATATGGAATCTAATATGGAGTAGTAAAAAACAACAATGTATCATTTTTGTATTTGCACTTTTTATTTATTTAAAAATTATATATATTGAACAAAATAATAATTAGGCTCAATCTTGTATAATATATTTTGGACATTTATTTTCTTCTTCATATATCAGTATTTAAATAATAATCATCAATAGAAATCTAAAACGCCTTTTCACGCCTAGGCTTCATCTATTCCCGCCTAGGCTTCAAAGGCTTAGAGCTTAGCCTCGATGCCTTGCCACGCCTCACGCCTTTTAGAACACTGGCCGGAGGGAGTACATTTTGGAATATTGAATAATACATAACATCTAGAATATAATACTACATTCTAAGTTTTTGGAGGCTCCCTACAAGAGTGGGCCCCGATGTCAAGCACTTATTGCACCTCCTAAAAGAGGACTTTCTCTGTATGTTTCGGAGTTTCAACTTTCTAGCGTGGCAAGCTTGTTATTTTTTTGCACTTGCATAATAAACGCTGAAGAGCCCGTTTGGTAGTATCAAAATCGATTGAATAAGATGATTCTACTGAAATTTATGAAATGTTGGCTGCAGTGGCTGATTCAACTGATTCTGTTGATTTATGAAAAAATTATATTTATTATTTAAAATATATTTTATTAATAAAATAATTAAAAAATTACATGTAAAAAGAGCTAAAATGATCCTCTACAATAACTTAAACTAATACACCTAGAAAAGTAACTCTAATCTTACTTTTTCTTATTATTACAAAATTCACCGCGCGACATCAAAGTTACGTGTTTGATAAAAAGTTGGCTACTAAGCTTGATAAACCGAAAAGCAACGTTACCGAACGGGCTCAAAATTAGGGGTGGGCATAAAACCCGAACCGAACCGGTACCGAACCATTCCGTAATAGTACCGAACCGAATACTGGGTATTTAAATGGTTATGTAGATTTTTATCCCGTACGGAAACCAAACCGTTTGAAACGAGTACGGGATCGGTCCTAGATTTTGAGAACCGAAAAATACCGGACCGAATCGTTCGAAAATAATGCATTTGAATTTTTTATAATTTATCTATACCAATAGATCTCTTTTATCGACAAACAATTTTATAGCCCACATATGTATTCATGTGTTCCTAAACTAGCTAAATGTGTGTGTTTATATTATATATATATATTGTTATTTTTCCTTTTTAGATAATTTATGTTATATTTTGATATGTATCGAAAGAATATTTAAATTTTAGAAATCATTAAGGACTGTTCATTTCTAGTAATGTAGTGTACATGACTTTTTGTGGTATCATGTTTGCGCAACTTTACAACTTAATTAATATGATTTAAATGTTAGCTCTCAAGGTTCAACTATAAATTAAATTAGATATTAATATGTAATATTTAACCTAGAATGAAGAAGAAGAACATTGAAGATTTCTATTATATTGAACAAATTGATGATATTCTTTTTTATATTTTCACATGAACTTAGTAAATTAAAGATGATATTTATCTCGTGCGTCATCGTTTTGCTATACTTTTTCTTAGTTGCGTTGCACTATTTGTCTATTTGTGAATTTTATTACTACATATGCAATTTCTTGTATTTATATCAATATTTCATATGAGTTGGTTGGTGTGAAGATATCTATATCTACCAATTGCAAGATTTGTTCAAATTTTTTAGCATGTGTTTGGCATTGTACTGTACCGTTTTGTACCGTTCCGAAACGGCATGGTACCGAACGGTTCTATCCTTGAAACCGTACCGTATCGGACCGTTAAAAGCCTAGCGGATACATTACGGATTTTACTAGTTTACCGGACCGTTCCGGACCGCGCCCACCCCTACTCAAAATGGTTTTCTTTTCAATCAATTGATTAAGCTCACCCAGCAATAGTTTCAAACTTTCAACTTTCAACAAGCACAGCGTTCTAAATAGTTTTGAGCTTCCCCAAACATGGCTCCGTGATTGTGTGACAGTTTATCACATGTTCGTGACAGTTTGGCTGTGTTTGGTAATTGGCGTTTCTGCCAGAACTTGGAGGGTTTGATCAATTTAGTTGTTTGAAAGTCTGGAAACGTTGTTTGGTAATTGGCGTTTTCGCTCAGCGTTTTGGATGAATTTGCCAAAATCAAACACGCTGCAACTAGGAGCGTTGACACTTTGGCGTTTTCAATTAATCATTGGATTTCCAACTTGTCCTCTCATTTTCTATTCTGTATTCGTTGCATCTGTTGAAGGTCTGCTGCTCTCTTACTGCTTCTCTGGGCCGCCGGAAGTTAGAACCCCGATCTTTTGATGTTCTAAAAAACTCATCCTATTGCTCTAGATTTTTGTTGTCTAATGAAGAAATTGCATATATGATTCTATTTGCATCTGATTGGATTTTTCTAGTCCAAGCTACGGCTAACATACGCCGCATATGCTAATTGTTGTTTGAGTTCTAGTAACTCATGAGAGTCGGCTAAGAATAAAAAATAAAACAAATGATAAGGATTCAATAGAAATTGATGACATCGAAATGGTTAATGAAATTACTATTTTTTTTGGGACTCAAATGTGCCATTCATTAATTAGACTGATATATTTTTGTATTATTATGATTTTATTGAGTCATATTTTAATCTGTAAGATGAACTTCTTATCAATTACGTAGTAATACATTAATAGCATTATTAAAAAATGGATACTAAAATTTATTAATGCATGTCTTCGTATGTCTTTTTGCCTACTAACCGCTATAAATAAACAGGTAAGTTACCAAACGTTTTTTTGTAACCCACCAAATTAATCTGCTGGTCAAATCCGCTAACTCAATCCGCTATTTTTAATCCGCTAACATTATCCGCTAACCGCCAATCAGGGATGCATTTAAGGGGGGTGACCGCCCCCTTGGAATTTCAAAATTTTCTACTATACATGTAGTATTTTCATACTTTAATTAGATATACGGAATATATGTTTTCGCCCTCCTTAACTTTTGGTTTTAAAAATTAATATGCATTACATAATGTATGTAATACATAATTGGAGATTTAAAAAAGTAACATCTAAAATAATTTACTTAACTTAAATGAATAAACAATAGCATAACCCATTGTTTAAGACATATGATATCTATTATATAAAAATTTCTAGCTTTGTAACATTTAATTGTCTTTATTAGATAATTGGTACTCGATATTGTAAAATATCGAACAATATTAAATATCATACACAGTAGTTAAATAATTTTTAGATCATGTGAAATGAATCTAAAATATAAATATTTATTGACATTAAATTACACAATTCATTTACTTATTACTTTCTAAAAACAATTTGTTGCATACATAGATAATAAACTTGAACTTACCGTAGCATTAATACAAATAATACAATATGCACCATATATGTGAATTAACAATATTATGTATAATATTATTCTAAAATAATAATATCACACATACTATTATTGTAATATTAAGAAAACTGCTCGTGACCCACGTACACCATATATCTTTATTCTAATAAGATTCATATGGATAAACAATTCTTTTTAGAGCATATTGGTTGATGTGTACCTTTTAAACTCTTTACCTTCAAATAATTTTCATTTGATTTGTCATTTTTTTACTTTAATGTATCAATACCTTTTTAGAGCATTTACAATTATAAAATTATTATTTTTCCATTGTTTAAATTTAGAATGTAATACTCCTCCAAAAAAAACTTAGAATGTAATAGATTTAAATATCATCGTGAATGTACCGATGAATTTTTTTGAATGAAAATTAGCCGCAGAGCCCTATGCTAGTGAAATAAATCATCCCGCTACACAAGCGAACAAAATTCCCCCGATACACTCATACACTAGCGATTTTTTTCACCCATATACTAACGGAAAAAAATTTGTCCTCTTGACTTGAAATCCTGGATCGATTCCTGCCGCCAATTACAAAACATGGCCTTTATCACATGTTCTACAACCGCTCTTCCCTTTAAAATTAACTCGTACCAAATTTTATTTTTACTTTATTTATTCGACATCAATCACTTATTTTACTCACATTTCTTATAATTATTCTTAGTGGGGATGGGGCAGTGCTTCGTATTAGTTAAATTTCTGAGTAAACAAGATTAAATTTCTCAGTGAAGAACACACAATTTATTGATAAAAATGGACCGCAGGCACACAATTTTACATTACATTCATACCAAATTAACGCCCACACATTCATTAAACACAATCAGAGCTCATTATATCTCCCAAATTCACAAAACGGATGCCCAGATTCAAAGCAGTCTAACCCGATATCTCAATGGATTTGATCTCAGGTTTCTTCACTTCCTCCTTTGGAACCGTCACAGTGAGGACACCATTCTCCATGGACGCCTTCACCTGTTCCACCTTAGCATTCTCCGGCAGCCGGAATTTCCGCAGGAACTTGCCGCTGCTGCGCTCCACACGGTGCCACTTGTCCTTCTTCTCCTCCTTCTCCCTGCTCCTCTCTCCGCTGATCTGCAGCACTCTCCCTTCCTCCACCTCCACTTTGACCTCTTCCTTTTTCAGCCCCGGGAGATCCGCCTTGAACACGTGAGCGTCCGGTGTCTCCTTCCAGTCGATGCGCGTGTTCACGAACGCCGATGTCTCGCTCGCCGATCCACCGGCGTTGGCGACGGCGTTAGAGATCGGGAATCCTTCAAACGGAACCCAGATATCGAGGGAGAATGGATCGAAGACGTTGCTCCGGCGAGCTCCAAAGATGCTTGGAATCAGAGACATTGATTCGATGTCAACCAAACAGCTGATAAGTTAGCCTCGTTGAGAGTATATGATAGGTACTTTGAACAGATTTCTTCTGATGCTTGATCGGAGGCATGGATGGCGTTTATATACGTGAGAGACTGTGATGACTCCTGAACTTTCAGGGCGGTTCCAGAGGGCTTTTGTGCGATCTTCCATTCTCTGTTCGCCAAAGTTCTACACAGTTCCCGACGTTGAGAGACGATTTGGTCACGTTCACATTAGCCGTTTTGAGCATAAAATGGGGCTAGGCAGCCCAATACAAGCAGAGGCCTTTTACTTTTAGTTGTGGGCCGGCCAATCCATTCAATTTGTCTCTAGTGGAAATATCCAGAACAAGTCCCTTTCTATCTAGCATTTCATTTATGTCCGTCTCTAAAATACTTTTCATTTTCAACTTTCAAATTTTCACTACAACTTCCATATTTCAAAAATAGCCCAAACCTCCATAAATCCAAAATAATAAAAAACCAGAAAAATTGATTGTAATAATCTCAACTATTGGCGGTACGTTTATAATAATCCCAACTATCGATTATCTCAGAATAATCCCAACTTTAGTGACCTTCCGCCAATAATGGTCTGACATGACCGGCCATAAATAAATTCCTATAGTTTCTAAAGTGAATGAGAAGAGATATAACAAGTAATCCCTATAAATAATTCAACTTTTAATTTTTACGCTTTATTTCTATTTAAAATTAACTTTTTATAGCAGGTCATATCTGGTCATGGATCATTATTGCCGGAAGGTCACTAAAGTTGGGATTATTCTGAGATAATCAATAGTTGAGATTATTATAAGCGTAACACCAATAGTTGAGATTATTATTTTTCCTAAAAACAAGTGTCCAAACTCTACGTATCGCCGTCTCCTAGCAGTTCTACACGTAACAAAAAGCCAAATTGAACGATAAAAATGGAAAACTTGTGAGAAGGTTGAAGAGTAAAGTTACGAAGCTCTACATCTCCGATCATCTCCTACAAAACCTGTTATTTTCGTTTCCTCACAGCTTCGATCCATCTTCCATCTCAGTAGATTAATTTCTTCAACCTGCCTCTCTCAACTTCGATAATCTCAATCACAGCGCCACCGCATCTCGACTTCACCTCAATCGCCGTGCCACCGCCTCTTAGCTTCACTTCAATCACAGCGCTGCCACCTCTCTCAGATACATGATTCAATCAACATGATACAATACACTTTCTCTTATCCCTAACTGGAATCGAGAACAAAAAGCCAAATTTGAAGGATCGACAACATCAATTTTCCACATATCATCTTCACTAATCAATAGTTTGGCTTTTGTGTTTGTTATAGGTATGGTTAATCATAATCATGCTCATACATCTACCATAGATTGACAATTTCCTAGCAAAGTTACATCTATATAGTGTTTGGTTGAGTTTGTGTATATGATATGGTAGTATAAATGTACTTCCCAATGACGAATGCCTCTTTAGAAGATGACCACAAGTGTTAATATAATTGCTAGTTAAGTTTTATATATTTTGCTGGATGTCTGGATTGGCTTGAATTGCAATGATGGTGGCTGATGAGAGTGCTAAGCATCGGTCACCGGAGAAGTTGCTCGAGTCCGATGGTGGAGAAACAACAACCTCGGATGTTCCAGGTGACATAGGTTTGGATATGGAATGCTTTGGAGCTCGGTTCCGGAGGAAGATTCTGAATTAGCACATGTATGCTTAAATTGCCTGCTTAGTAAGTTTGATTACTTTTGTCCCAATTGGAGTATTCTTGGCACATAAAGAGTAAGAATAGGTTCAATGTGTAGGGTCTATTTTTGTTCTTTTTTGTCATGCAATTCGCTCAACTTTATCTTTGCACGAGTATTTTGTTACGCAAGTTGCTGTTGTTGTTTATTGCTTAGTCCTTGATTGCTATTTGGGAGAATGATGACAAAAATCAAAATTAAGCTGAAAAGGGTTAGCTCTCTCTAGGTGTTTACTTAAAAAATTGGTATTTTGTAGGGAAGAAGTACCATCAACTAGTATGGAGACCGACAATAGATGATATATGTATCACAATCCAGATTGGAAGAAATTCGATGCCTCTTTTGGAGAGATAGAGTGATGATGGTGTCAATACGGGTGACATATTGGAGAAGAAATGAAAAGAAGTAAACCCAAATAATATAATGGATAAATGTAATAAATTGAAATAATAGATGGAATTGTATATTTGTTGTGATACTATTATATACTACCTCCGTCCCTTAAAATTTTGCCAAAGATGACCGGCACGGAGAATAATAATGTAAAAATTGTGTGGTTGAGGTTTGTGGAGAGGAGAGAGAAATAACAGAAACCACAAAATAATTGATTAAAAGGGAAAGTGGCAAAGTTTTTTGGGACGTCCCAAAAAAGAAAGATGACAAAGTTTTAAGGGACGGATGAAGTAATATTTTTTGTTTCTTTTTGTTGTATCATATGTGTTGCATTTTGTTGCATCGTGTTGCATTTTGTTTCAATTTGCTACTTTTTGTTGCACTGTGTTTCTTATTATTGTTTATTCATAGTTTTGTTGTTTACTTGAATTTCTTTCTTATTATTGTTTATTCATAGTTTTGTTGTTTACTTGAATTTCTGTTTACTTCTCTACATCCTTGAAATAGAACACTTATATAGATTTATATATAAACACCTAGTCAATACTTTTGAAGAATTGAGAAGAGAAAAAAGCTAAAATGTTAAATTTTGAATAATGAATATGAACAACAACTAGAATCATAGAGAAACAATAAAAAACAAAAATTCTAAAAGTATATTATCAACAAAAAGAAACACAAAGAAATCATAGGCAACAAGACTAAAATGATAAAAAAAATAACAATTTAAAAATTTGAGCAGTTCATAAAACGTTACATTAGAAAATTTGCATTTTTTCAGTTTTTTTTTTCAGCTTCATTATTTTATTTTGTTTTTCATATTTTATTCTCTGAGTTTATTTTAAGTTTATGCTCTTTTAGGTTACTTTAATTTTCGTTTTTTAATAGTTTTATGCAATAAATATTATTATTATTACTATTATATAATGTTAAATTAATTTATTTACATGTTTAATATTTTCGTTCTTCACGCTTTTGAATTTTCTAGTTTTGGTTTTATATTTTACACTCCTTATAGTTTACATTATTTTCCAGATTTTGTTTTTCAAATTTATGAGTTATATTTTCTATTTATTTTGTACTTTATAAATTATTCTGGATTTTTTAAATATTCTAAAAATCTATCTACATATATATATATATATATATATATATATATATATATATATCAATTTTATAGATTTTTTTACTTTGTATATATTCCTATTTTAAAAAATTTTATTCTTTCATAAAAATTTGTTGTTACTTTTCCTACTTTGTTAGTAGTTTTAATTTTTTTTATCATTTTACGTTTTTAATTGCAGTTTTAGTTTGAGTTCAACATTTTTAAAAATCTAATTTCATTTTTAGAATTCTAAGAATATATAAAAAATTTATTTTGTTGAGTTCATAAAATTTTTTCTACGTCTGTTTCTTTTTTCTATAACATTATATAATTTTCGTTTTACTATTTTAAATGTAGTTAAGATGTTTTTAAAAAATTCTCAATATTTAGATTTTTTTTAGTTTTTATAGCATCGTTTTGTATTTGTGACACTTGTTATTATATACTACGTACATATTATTTAGAATTTATCATTTCTATAAGCGGGTTGGATACAAACAGTACGTGCAAAGGAGAAGGTATTGAGGTTTGGGTGCTAACCGTTTGCTTAGAGACTATTATTGAAAGGAAATTTTGATTTGACTATTTTTGAAAACAACTTTAAAAGTTGAAAATAGTGATATTATGTTTACATTTTGGACTCTTTGTGATAAATTCGCTTGTCTCTATGATTAGTTCTGCATTTCAAAAGAAGATCCAGCTTCTTATTATATCAGGTATCTTTTTTTTTTTTAATCAACTAATACTTCTCGACCATCAATTACAATTTATGGACTAAGATTAAAAAGTGTAATTCAATTTACAAACACCATTTTGCTATATACAGCCCCCAATTGATTTATTACCCTTTTAACATAAAATCGATGCAACCATTTCACTAAATAAATTGATTAAGTTCAGCAGCTAGAGCTTAAACAATGGCTTCAAGCTCCGCACGGAAAGTGTTAAAGCGAGGACGGTGGAAACGGTCGCCAACGCAGCACCGCCTTCCTCATCTACATCTCTTTAGTTTTCTCCTACTTCCCTTCTATTTAATTTCATTTCTTCATCTGTTTCTTGATCCAAATTGTCTCGTCTTCTTCCCATTCTGCGCAAATGGGTTGAATACTGATTCTAGCCTTTTTATCTTTTCCTCTCTCCGCTTTCAAATTCTTGAAGCCGTGAACGTCGAGGATAACGAAGACGGACCAGAACAAAGGCCATAGGTTGCAGAGATCAAAGACTAGCACAGGCCGGAAGCTCTCGGCCTGAAGAAGGCCAGTGGATCACATCGGGTGCAAGGAAGAAGTTAAAGGAGCTGCGATGGATTTTTATAAGCTAAAGAGAGAAGATATTCCCAAAAAAACTAAGGAGAGAAGATCCTAATCTTCGGCTATGGCGGTGAACATTCTCATCTCTGAAGCTGAATTTAAGTTTTGATTTTTGACTGCTTTGTTTATGTAGTGGTTGTTATGGGGTTATGGCTTTCAATCCTTTAGTTTATAACAATTGGGTCTTTTTATAATGAAGAATGCTATGGCTGGAGAACTAAAATGAAGAACAGTGGTGAACTAAATCAATTTATTTAGTGAAATGGTTGCATCGATTTTATGTTAAAAGGGTAATATTGGAATCTAAATCGATTGGGGTTGTATATAGCAAAATGGTGTTTGTAAATAGAATTACCCATTTCTTTATTATCTTGACGGGGATAACATGATTCATCATATACATCGAGAGATTGGATCATAATTGAGAACTCAAAATAAAAGTTTTATTCACGTGGAATCTCTTCAAAACTTTTTCACCAAATCTTCATTCTTTAAATCATCTCAAATTCTTTCATGAGATATTTTGTATAATGTTTGAATCATCGACATGTATTGTAATTATGGTGAATCCCTAATTGGATCAACGAATGAAAATGCGAAGATATTTGTTTCTGTATCATTCTTAATTAGATATTCATTTGGACTTTTACACATATTCGTCAATATTCCTTTTGTCCATATAATGACTTTTGCGACTTAGTTGAAAAC